GGGGACATTAACATCTCGAGTTCTTATGCTCAGTAGAATTGTAATTGTAAATGGGGTGATTCAACAATGTCTCGCTCATAACTGCCTGAACTGCTACAGGGAGCTGTTGCTTTTTCTCTCCTAATCCTTACTATCGTCATTTTCCTCTACTTGTTTTGTATGTTTGTCACACTCTTGTGACCCGTATTTCCGGGGTGCCTTGATTGTCGAAGCAGACCTTGTGCTGTTGAAGCTAGAGAGGTGAGCAGAGTAAGCCCGATCCCTGTAAAGAGTTCTCTGTTGACATCCACCCCTTAGCGCTCATATGACCATAAGTATGCAGTTGCTAGTGCCGTAAAACCTCTACTAAATGGGTGGTTGGCTGGTGCTCTGGTGTGGTTTGCTTCTTCTTTCCTAAGAAACATCTATCATCCTTATCTCCCCTTCTTCTTTTTTGTGTTTGATACTCTCTTGCAACACTTCTAATCTTCTGGTGCTCACATGACCTTATGCAGTTGCAAGCGCCGTAAAAATCTACTTAAACTATCTGAATTCCCGTCCCCCAGGCCCTCGCCTCCCGCCACAACCGCCTCGACCAGGACATCCGAGCCTTCAATGTGGAGATCAAACGTCTGGAGGAACTGGCCGTGCTCATGACCAAGGCAGCCAGCGAACATAATGTGAGTCATTCTCATTAGTAGTTTCTTCCTTATTGTTATTGTTGTTGTCTTCTCTTCCCTTCACCTCCTCACATAGTGTGAGTCATCATCATCATCATCATCATCATCATCATCATCATCATCATCATCATCATCATCATCATCATCGGTTTTTTCTTTGTTATTGTCATTGGTTCTTCTCTTCTCCATACCTCCCCACATACTGTGAATTATCAACATTATTGTTATCTGTATTATTGTTGTTATCACCAGTCCTTCTCTTTCCCGTACCTCCCCACATACTGTAACTCGTTATCATCATCATCTTCGTTTTCTTTGTTATTGTAATTGTCATCACTTCTTCTTTTACCCTTACCTTCCCTCTTACATTGAGTCGTCATCATTATCTTTTTCTTTGATAGGTATCATTGGTATCATCGTTATCATTTTTCATTGTACTCATCCTTCTTTTCCTTTTTTTCTTTTTTTTTCTTCTTCTTTCCTCTTTCTAATATTCTTTCCTTTAGTTCATTACTCTCATACTCACCCCCTGGGGCAGCGCCACTGACTGTAGTGTCTTTAGGCCATTCCCAAAGAGGGGACATTTCTCGTTCAAGCACAGTAGAATTGTAAATGGGCTGACTTATGTTACGCTCATAACTGTGCCTGATCTACAACAGAGAACTGCTGCTTTTTCTTTCCTAATCCTTACTATTGTCATTTTCCTCTACTTCTTTTGTATGTTTTTCACTCTCTTGTGACCTGCTATTTTGGGGTGCCTTTATAGTCGAAGCAGACCTTGTGCTGTTGAAGCAAGAGAGGTGAGCAGTCTAAGTCTGATTCCCTGTAAAGACTTCTCCGTTGACACCCACCCCTTGGCGATCATATGACCTTATGCAGTTGCGAGCGCCGTAAAACCCTCTACTATAAAAAAAACAACAACAAAAAAACTCACATACTCCTCTGTATATCTCTGTATGTGATAGTCATTCTTTGGCGTTTCGCCGCCTCTCCCAGATTACGTCTGGGAAGGGAAGTAATACATGACTTTTGTCTGTATATTCAAATAATTCAACGGTAATTTCCCTTTGCTAGTCAGCTTGGCTAGTTATAATTAATGGCCTTTTATTTTCAATTGG